AAGCGAGGAGGAGGAGGAGGGGAGGGGAGGGTCGAGAGAGAGAGAGAGAGAGAGAGAGAGAGAAGGCTCCAAGATTATTGGGGATACGTTGTTAGAAACGTTGTGGAAAAATTCCGCGAAAGTAGTATTACCTGTATTAAATTCTACACACGTCGAGTTGTCACGGGGAAATAGTTACGACATTTCTACATTGAGAATTTTGAAATTTTTCTCCCCACGGAAAATAATGATAACCGCGATATTAAAAGTTATATAAAGAAATTATATTTTCGAACAGATACAAGAATAACATCGAGACTCGAGATTGAAATCGCGTTGAAAAAAGATCGACGAGAATTTGCTGCAGATCCCATTTCCACTAACTAAAAGGCTAACTGCTTTGCTTTTTCAGCAAAGGAGTAATCGAACCTCCATCTTGATTGTGATACCAGTGTAAGTGTCATCGTAATTCAGATGAAAGATCGTGCGTGAATGGAAGCATCTGTGCGTAAGTGCTATCTGATCACCATCTTGTGCCTTATTCCACGTAAAAGGTTCTTTTGTGGGGAAGAAGAATCCTTGAGTAGAAGCCAAATCTTTGATTGCTCTTTGAGCTCGATTGGTCGTGAAAAGATTTTGTGTAATATCTTAAGGGAGGATTCATTTGGAACGCGAATATTATTGATTTTGAGTGAAAATTTTATGAAAAGAATTGTTTGTTTTAATGTTAATTTATAATAAGAATGTATGATAAGATAGCGATGGCGAAACAAGTAGTGCAAGCTAATCATTCGTCGTACAAGTGGAGGAAGACAGTCATGATGATCGTGGATGAAATAAGATAACTAATCAAATGGAGTACAAGAAGAGTGCAAGAATAACACAAGTGAAACAAGATGGTAATAATCAGGCGAGTGACGTAGGTCGATCATTTCACCGATCCAAGTAGAATGTACATATAATTATGGACGAGAGAAGGTTGGAGAGAGAGTTAATCAATAAAATAGGGATAAGGCAATTATTTGTGATGAAATTGTCGCACACGGATAAGAAACAAATCTCACGATGGTATACAGTTACGTAGGGTTCGTTTATATAGAAGAGGCGAAACAAATAATAACGAAGTGGAGAGAATTTATTCGAAATTCGACTCGAACACGTGTCTACGTCTGTCTGGCCGTATTAACAATGATAAAACGAGATCCGATCGGGGCAGAGCAAAACGTTATCAATCACACTCCATTACGGACTGGCTACATCCGAGCACTTTTATCGCAATCCTGTCCTCGAAACGGAGTTACGCTGAAACCAACTGAGAGAAGATTCGATAAATCCTTAGTAATTTCCTTATTTCAACGCTACGATAAATCGCCACGAAAGTGTCAATTTGAATTTTTCCTTCCTTTCTCGATTATCATTCGTCGTGTCGCGTCGTGATTCGAGAAAATTATTAATTTTGAAAAAAAATAAATAAATAATTGCTCGACGATCGTAATCGTTTAATAATAATTAAAAATTTTCAACATATCGAAAATTATCGATCGAACGGATTTATTGAATTAAATAAATTGTGCAACGGATATACAATAATTTTGAAATAAATATCGAATTTATAATATTCGATTAAAAAATTTTTTTTTCGATCGTTATTAATCTTTCGTTTTCGACGAAAAATATTAATCCTCGATTATTCATCGTTCCAACAATTTGACGTAAATATCGAAACTGCGATCGTATAATCGAATATTAATTCTTTTTTTTTTTTTTATTGAAACATTAAACATTTTAATCGTCGCATCGATCGAATAAAAATTGAATCGGATTTAATAATCGCTTAATCGCATTAAATATTATTCAACGAATCGTTCTTCCCAATTGTTCTTGCCAAACAGCAAAAAACTGCGTAGGCTCGTGAACGTTGCCAGTTTCTCGTAAACACTCGTTCATTAACGATAAATGCACGAAAGGATCGGCATTATATGCAATTATTTCGGTGTTACATTTAAAATCATGCTCGTTAACGAGGCCAATAACGCTGTATTTATATCACTTTTACCCGTTCGAAAAAAAAACCTGCCGAATTTCAGACGAAAATTCAGACGACTGGATTTCCTAAATAAAACAATTCTTTTTTCATTTTCCGTCGAAGAAAAATCCTTTCAATATTACCGACAAGATAATCGTCGAAATTGAACGTTTAAACGTTTTTTAAGTTTAAATTAAAATGTTCCCTGATCTCTTCAGTGATGGAAGAATAGACCAATATTATAATCTTTCGTCGAAACGCGATTCTTAAGAAATCTCTATTTAATCTTTCTTAAATTTCCCGCGATTAACCCTTGCTTAGATCGAAACGACGCAATTAAAAACGATCTGGCCATTTAAAAAATTCATCCTCGTGATGCTTATTTAAGGAACGAATGTAAGGTTGAATTGAAAGGAGAATAAACCAATAATAATTCATCCATATCGATCGAATTCACGCACATATTTTAATAAATTTTCACAACAAGCGCACCAGTTAAATTCTGCAAGAAGCGTAAAATTAATATCGAAGCTATTCCATTCGAGCAAAAATGTACTTAAAACGAAAAAAAAAAAAAAAGAAACGTCATTTTCTCTCTCTCTCTCTCTCTCTTTCTCTGTTCGATTTCGCATGCCAGAATCGGCTCATACAAAATCAAAGTTCGACTTCACCTTCTCCCTTCTCCTTCGTCACAGGGCGAATTCTCAGAATTATCGTGCCGCCACGATCGACGATTCCAGTTGGGACAATTTAGATCCAGCCGGGCGATAAACGGCGCTCGATTGAATAACGCGTTGATTAAACGCGATCTCATTTCTGATAATACCGCCTTTTACCCCTAAACTTCTTCCAACCTCTCCCTCCCCTCTCCGGCGATAAAGCGGGAAGGAATTCGAAAGATGTCCCGGGATTAGTCCCGGGATTTCTTTGGCCAATTGGTCGGAGGAGGATCTTATCTAGCATGATTCGATCGATATTTTAATACGAAATTGGAAATTGTGTCCATTCGAGAAATATGCGTGGATAATTAAAATTTTAACGTTCAAATCTACGAGCAATATTTTTAAGGATCGATAGAGTTGCTTTGAAATTATCAAAAACAAAAAAAAAAATTCTATCGCCAAGCAGCCGTTGTTACAAGAATATTAAATTCTCGTTAAATCGAGATTTCCATTCCATCCGATATAATAGTCGAACGAATATATTTTCCTCCATCGATCGAAGGTAAAAAAAGGCGTAAAAAGAGAGAAGAAAAGTTGTATCGTTCTCGACTCACGGTGTCCACGTGGTGGGGATTCGCCGGTGATCGAGGCTATGCGTGGCGCGTCCTCGCTGATCTCGATTTCAGCGGACTCTCTGTACACGTCCGCTATGAAGGCGGTGCACTGGAGGAGCAACCTCCCGTTTCGAAACATGTCGTTCGTCACCTTGAAGTCTATCGTCGACTTGGACACCTGGGAATCGTCGTCCTGCGGTATGGCGAAGTATCTGGTCCTGTATATCAAGCTGTCGTTCGCGATCTGCAAATTCAAAATCGTTATTCTCTCGTGTATGATCGGCAACAGGTTTGGGGATCAGTCTGTTCGATTCGAATTCGAAATTGTTCGAATTGAATTAAACAGAATGGAAAAATTATTTTTAGGATTTTCAGCACAAGCGAGGAAGATTTAATTAGAAAATTACTTTCGTTCACGGGGCGAGGGATGTTTAACAATGCGAGAAAATAAGCGTGCACGCGTCAAATAAATATTTAGCGGGTTGAAAATGAAACAGATTAATTCTGAAGCTCCCGTATATACATCAAAAGCCGGTGTACACGGTGTGTACGAATTATTATGCCGCGGTTCACACCACCACCACCACCACTGTTGGAGAAGGGCGCCGCCATCGCTGGAGAGGGATGATTCCGTGCTTGGAAAGTATATTCTGTATTTTTGCGGGGCGCGAAGTTGCCGTTGGAAAACGCGCGTGGACAGTTTTAATGCCGCGCCAAGTTTTGACTTCTCGAAGTGGAAATTTCTCGGGCGAAGTTAGGGGCAAAGTTTTCTCGCAGCGACACGAAATTGGAAATAATGTTGGTTGAAATAATATTCTTTGGTTAAACCATTCGCTTTTAAATAATATTATGTCGTTTTCATATACATAATAAGACAATTAATAATTGGACAGGTTCTTAAAATCGTAGAAGTAGAATAAAATAGGTATGATGAAACAGACTAGTGAAATAACACATTTATAAATCTAGGCAAGTAGTATAAGTCAATTATTCGTCACGAACAAGATAAAAGAATGAATGAAGTTGAAAAAAATATACGATGCTCTTCATATTAAAGAAAATTAAAGTATATTCCAATAACTTGAATATGAATGTAATCAAACAGACTAGACAAGTAGTATGAATCAATTATTCCTCACGAAAGTGGAACAAAATAAGAAAAAGAATGAAACAGTCATGATCGAGGAAGAATTAATTATAGTATTTTTATATAGTATATTCCAATAATTTAAATAAATCAAATTCTTTTTCAACCAGAGTACTCGAAACTACTTCTAACGAACCAACTTCTTTCATCACCGGAAATAACCACACTCTCGTCTTGAAAACAACCCTTCCAAACCAACAACTCTTCCATCACATCAACACTTCAATCTCGAAACATGCTCCCATCCTTGTCTCCACGGTACAACACAGATACTATTACCACCCAGTTATTACATTATTATCCCCGTCCTTTTAACTGTCTTCCTCGACAAATATCCATCGAGCATCGATCGTTCCCCATCGAACATTCTCCTCGTCCCCAACAGAATGGTTTTAGAGACGAATCTCCTTCTCCCAAAGATGATATTACGCAGTTTCGTCGCTCTTAGGGTGAATGAACGAAGGAAATTCCATCTCTCTCTTCCTTTTTCTTCATCTACATCTTCCACCTCCACCTCTTCCTCTTCTTCTCTCCTTCGCTTCCACTTTCTCTTTCTTTCTTGGATACGAGAGAGAACGAAGAAGATGGCACAAGAGTCGCTCGAGGTTATTACTTCGGGGAACAAACGAGGGGTTGTGTGCATTAAGTCAGCGGTAGACGCGGGACCCACTGTTCATAAAACATAATGCATAAAGCTTGTGCTTTGTCGCGTGCACACCTCCTCCCCCTCCCCTCTTCCCTCGTGGATTTGTCGCTAGGCGATCCCAGCCACCGCCGACTTCCCTCCCTCCTCCCCTCTCCACTCTGAAGATATATCGATGCCGTGGAGGAGGGGAGGGAACGTGCTACGTGGTTGTTGATTTTTATTAAGATCGAGCGCGAGTCGGTTGACAGTCGATGGTTAATGGCGATGGGAGACGATGGTTCCAGAAGATGGAGGATTCCAAATTAAGGCGGATGAAAGAGGTTAAAGTGGCGAGGATAAGAAAGGTAAAGATCGAGATCCTTGACGCGTGGCTGTTTTACAGTTGATCGTGTAAAGAAGAGATCCTTTTTTTTTAAAGTTCAGCTTCAGCTCGATTATTAAATCTGATTATTAAAATTAGGAAATGTTTGAACCATTGTGAGGTAATAATTTTCGGTTGATGAATGAAAGATCATTAGAAACGTATTTTCATTTATCTACGACTTTTAGCTTTCGAATTATCGTCGTGCAAATAAAACGTAATTTTTAAACCTGATGAAACTGTATTAAAATTTTGGGAAACTTTGAACCGCTATAACTCCGAAGATAGTAATTTCCAATCGACGAATGAACGATCATTAGAAGCGTGGAATCTTCCTCTTTAAAACGATTTTTTGTTCATCTCGATACGACTTCCGGTTCCCGAGATATCGCCGTGTAAAGAAAAAGGTAATTTTTAACTATTTTATCCACTGGCTTATCTAGACGATTCCTGGAAATATACGTTATATTGGGTCCTAAGTCCCAACTTTATGGAAACTTTAAATTATTGTATCTCGATAACGGATCGAGATATCGAGATGAAACAAAAACTATCTTCAATAATGTCGCTTTCTCTATTTTCTGACCGGGTTTTGACGACAAAATTTTAATTTCTTCTCGCATTGAAGATAGACGGCCTGCTCTACGAATTATGACAAATATTGATATTGATATTTAATTTCAAGCTGTTCTTCTCTTTTAGAGAATTTTATTCCACGCTTCGAGAGAAGATGGGTTTATTCGACAAATATTTAAACGTCAGAATCTCCACTTTGGAGCGAGCAAGGTCTTCGATTAACTGAAACTGAATATCAGGACAACGATCGATGTGCCACTTTACAAAGGAAAATAGGGAGTAATCACGACCTGTGCGGTCTTCCTGGAGCGTTTCAATTAATTAAACGAGCAACGCCCCTCGTTAAATTGGAATATAATTAATCGTTCGAATTTCTGTCAACCAATTATCGATCGCACGGATTGATCGAGCACGCTGAATTTCTTCCGAATACATCATCCCCGCTGATATTTTCCACCGGGAGGAGAAACATGGTTTACCGCAATTCGTCAAATTCCTCAGACTTTATGACCGTTTCGAGTCCCTTCCTTCCGGAATTCCTCTTCTAAATTCACCGAGTTTTATCGTTTCCTCAGAATTCCACGCCATTGTCGTTCATCTTATCCGCGCAAGTGTAACCCGCGTGTCGCTTTTCATACGAGATTCCAACCGCGGATCTTTCGCCCCCCAGAATCTAGGTCGCGTTCTTTTCCCCTCACAGAAGGAGGCGGAAGCTGATGGATCTTGTTCGCTCGAGATCTTTTCACATTTGGCAATTAGGGTCTTCGAGTGGATAAGAGAAGGGATGAAAAGTTTTGAAGGGGGTTGATCTTCGGTCGGGGAGCATGATTTTGAAAATGTTGCGCCACTTGTGCTCAAAGTTTCGTGACTTCAGAGCAAACAAGTTTGGGTTGGAACGAGAATGGAAAATTCGCCCAGTTAAAATATCTGAAACTGTCAATAATCTTGTATCACTCTTCCATTCGCTCGAACCAATTAATACCAAAGAAAAGAAGAGAATATTAATTTTTAATATCCTGTAAAATGTGTTGGAAAAAATATATTTGCGATCCTTCTTATTATTCGAACAGAAAATAAGAGTAATTGCGTTATCAAAGCGTATTGATTAAAACTGAAAAGTTTTAACCCCCGAATAACTATTATTTAAGATAAAAGTTAACAGTTCCATTCGATCACACAGGATTTATCCGGATTGTCGGGGGAATCGTGAACGCGAGAACATCGCTCGTTAGACCTTTCTTCCCTGCAGACGTCGGACAGAAAACCGATAAACGCGTCATCCACCACCCTCGCGCCACTGTCATCGCGCGATCTCTCCGGGCGCGTTGCAATTTTCGTGGACGAATGGTGACGAGAGAGAATTTGCGCCTCATCCGAGTTTTCGAGTTATCCGAGTGGAAGCCGGGTTAAGGGACGTCGAACTATATGATTTCGAGAGGGTTAAGTTAAAATTTTTCGACATTTTCTTTTCGTTCAATCTATCACGATTTAAAATTCGATTGTTGTTGTTGTTATTATTATTATTATTATTATTATTACACGATCAATTTCATTTTATGGGACGATGCAACACTTTTGTATAATTTTTCAAAATTTGTCGCAACAATTTAACGAAATACTACACTTTTCTTAATTCAGCTAATTTTGCAATTTGATTATTACTTACAGAGAATAACCTAACTTTTATCATTTCAATCAATTGCAAAAAGATTCGATTCATCGTAATAATAATTACATATGAACAATTTGAATACATTTCGAAATATTCGAGAGCGAATCTCGTGTTGAATAAACAATCAATGATTCCCACGATTCGATCGAACCTAGCCTAATTTAACCTAACCTAACCTCCTAAATCTCCTCGATACAGTGAGTTCTCGATTCGAGCAGACCCCTGGAAAACAACGGCCTTGATCTCCAAATATCATAAATTTACGAGTTGCACAAAATTCATCGATGTTTCAACGTTGGATAGGCGGAAGAAACGTGGCCAGCAGAGTGGAAGAATCGATGGCGGGAAAATATGAGCGAATGCTCGATTCCAGGTATCGATGGAGAGCGTGCAATCCTTGGCAGAGGATCAACTATCCGCTCGGTGACTCGGCTCGAGTATTTGTTCAAAGCGAGTTTTGATTGGAGGCGACAAGCAGGATACTGGCGACATCTATCTAAGGCCGTTCCTTGTTCTTTCTCATACTTGATTCGATATTTTTCTATTATTCAACGGGGCGTAGCGATGATTCTGTTGGTTCAGCATTAATTATCGAATTAATTATTAATGCTGGTCTAACTTTAACATAACCTAACTTCGTCATGCTGCTATTGTTGTATTATAATGGAACGATGCTTTTCGGGAATTGGTGATTTTAGGGTAGTTTGTTTTGGCTTGGTGATTATTTACCTTATGATCATTATTGTTTATCGCTCAGAAAGAGTTCAAAAATTCGAAACGAAAATGAACGTTCGAGTAAATGCTATGAACGTATGAACACGAATTTAATAAATTAATTTAAC